TAAAATCGGACGAAAGCAGACGTTTGCGGGTAAAAACAGACGTACGCAGGCGTTCGCAGACGAAAGTCGACGTTTGCGGATGAAACCGGGCGAAAGTAGATAAAACTAAATGCCGGCGATCGCGGGTGATTTCAGATGATTGCGAGGTTGCACTAACCGGGCGAAAGACAGGTATAACCGGGCGTTCGCAGGTGAAAGCAGACGTTTGCGGGTGAAAAAGTATGAAAGCAGACGTTCGCAGATGAAAGTCGACGTTTGCGGATGAAACCGGGCGAAAGTAGATAAAACTAAATGCCGGCGATCGCGGGTGATTGCGAGGTTGCACTAACCGGGCGAAAGAGAGGTATAACCGGGCGTTCGCAGGTGAAAGCAGACGTTTGCGGGTGAAAAAGTATGAAATCAGACGTTCGCGGATGAAATCAGGCGTTCGCGGGTAAAAACAGACGTTTGCGGGTGAAAGCAGGCGTTTGCAGGTAAAAGTAGACGTGTGCGGGTGAAAACAGGCAAAAGCAGACGTTTTGCGGATGAAACCGGGCGAAAATAGATAAAACTAAATGCCGGCGATCGCGGGTGATTGCATATGATTGCGAGGTTGCACTAACCGGGCGAAAGACAGGTATAACCGGGCGTTCGCAGGTGAAAGCAGGCGTTCACATATCAGAGTGCGTGAAATCAGACGTTCGCGGATGAAATCAGGCGTTCGCGGGTAAAAGCGGACGTTTGCGGGTGAAAGCAGGTGTTTGCAGGTAAAAGTAGGACGTTTGCGGGTGAAAACAGGCAAAAGCAGACGTTTGCGGGTAAAAACAGACGTACGCAGATGAAAGCAGGCGTTCGCAGACGAAAGCCGACGTTTGCGGATGAAACCGGGCGAAAGTAGATAAAACTAAATGCCGGCGATCGCGGGTGATTTCAGATGATTGCGAGGTTGCACTAACCGGGCGAAAGACAGGTATAACCGGGCCGTTCGCAGGTGAAAGCAGACGTTTGCGGGTGAAAAAGTATGAAAGCAGACGTTCGCAGATGAAAGCCGACGTTTGCGGATGAAACCGGGCGAAAGTAGATCAAACTAAATGCCGGCGTTCGCGGGTGATTGCATATGATTGCGGGGGTGCACTAACCGGACGAAAGATAGGTATAACCGGGCGTTCGCGGATAAAGTAAAGCAGGCGTTTGAGGGTATGGGCGGATAAGATTTTCATCCGCAATCACCCGGTTTTGACGCATATTTCAATCGAAATTTACGCCCGCAATCACCCGGCTTTTTCAGCAGGGATATATTAAAAATTATTGGTTATGCCAAAATTAAAAAGTTTATAAAGTTAGATGAAAAATTCTACGCCGAAATAAGTGTTTTTCAACCAAATTCCATACAAATTAAAGATTTTATAATTCCAAATGTATTTGAAATTAAACATATATGTTTTCTAACAATTAATTTAAATGTAAGCTTAATGATTAAAAAATGTCTATTTATGTCTTTTAACAAAGACCTTATTTGTATTTTACCAAATAATATTGAAGTTCAATAAACTTATTTCCTTTACAGGTTGTTTTTATTCAAATAATTCCTTTTAGAGTTATAAAGTTGTGTGCCGTGAAGGGCTAACAACCAGTTAGTTAAAGCTCAGTAAAATTTGACAAAGCAGGTAAACTAAATTATACACGAGAAAAAGGGAAACAAAAAGCGCGAATGAAACCAGACGTTTGCGTACGAAACAGGACCGAAATGGACAAAGGAAATGCAGGCAAACCGAACGCGGATGAAAGCAGAGGTTTGCAATTAAAAGCAGATGTTCGCGGATAAAAGCAGATATTTGCGGATAAATGCGGATAAATGCAGATGTTTGGGGATAAAAGCAGATGTTTGCGGATAAAAGCAGATGTTTGAGTATAAAATCAGATGTTTGCGGATAAAAGCAGATGTTTGCGGATAAAATCAGATGTTTGCAGGTAAAAGCATGTTTGCGGGTGAAACCGTATGAAAGCAGATGTTTGCGGATAAAAGCAGATGGTCGCGGATGATTGCAGATGTTCGCGGATAAAATGAGATGTTCGCGGATGAAAGCAGTTATTCGCGGGTGATTGCAGATGTTCGCGGATAAAAGCAGATGTTCGCGGATAAAATGAGATGTTGGCGGATAAAAGCAGATGTTTGCGGATAAAAGCAGATGTTTGCGGGGGTGCACTAACCGGATGAAATCAGGCGTTTGCAGATAAAAGCATGTTTGCGGGTGAAACCGTATGAAAGCAGATGTTTGCGGATGAAAGCAGATGTTCGCGGGTGATTGCAGATGTTCGCGGGTGATTGCAGATGTTCGCGGATAAAAGCAGTTGTTCGCGGGTGACTGCAGATGTTCGCGGATGAAATCAGATGTTCGCGGATAAAAGCAGATGTTCGCGGATGATTGCAGATGTTCGCGGATAAAATGAGATGTTGGCGGATAAAAGCAGATGTTTGCGGATAAAAGCAGATGTTCGCGGGTGATTGCAGACGTTTGCAAATAAAACCAGACAAAAATAGACAAAAAAATCCAGGTAATCGCGGATAAAACCAAAAGTAAGCAGACGTTTGCAGATGATTCCGGACAAATTCAGATATAAACGAAACACAGTGAAGACGGTTAAAAACAGATGATTGCGGGGGTGCACTAACCGGACATAAATCACAACTAACCAGGTGTTCGCGGATATAGCGATGCGGACAAAAGCAGATGTTATCAGATGATATTTTTACCCGCTTTTATCTGCTTTTATCAGGCTTCGACGAAGAATTTATACCCGCAATCATCTGCTTTTATCCGGTTTTGACGAAGAATTTATATCCGCAATCATCCGTCATTTTCAGCACTATATATAAACTTTATGTTGTAGTGTTCTAAAACCAATTGGTTTTGCTTGTTATTTGACTGAATACATATAAATATTAAATTATTGTGTTTCAACCCTTTAGTTTTATGGTTTATTCAAGTTTTTGTGCTATTTTTGTTTTGTTTTTTTAGAGTTGATATTTTTTAAATAATTTATTTTAAATAAATTTTTTTATTTTACTGATTCTCGTTTTTTTATTAAATTTTAAATGGATATTAATAAATTTTATGAAGGTAAATTCAAATTATTGTTTGATGTACCCTATGCGCATGACGGGTAAAACTTAACCAAGTCTAAAGCTTGGACAACCGATAGTGCACTCTGGGCATATACTTGCTGTTTTCGAATAGTTGACAGTTTCATATATCTAGATATATCTGGTATATATACCTGAGATTTCTAACGCGCAAGGTAAACTAGGAGTGTATCCAGAGTGCACCCGAACGCGCTTCTGTTGTAAATGACCGATTAATTCCTGTAGAAACCAACTGAAGTATTGGTTGGTATCAATGGGTCTGAATTGGACTTACTGGATTTAATTGGGCGCGATATAAAACAGAAATTGGTTTTTACTGGTATTTTCCTTGATGGAAAAGTCCAATTAGGATTCTAATGGTTTTTATTGGTTTTGATTGGATAAAGCTACCTATAGGTAATTTCCAATTAAATTCAATTGGGCATTTCCAGTGTAAGATTCTAAAAAGGAATCTGCACTACCATGGTAATTGGTTATTCGCAATACTTTAAATATGGAAAAATCCAATTGGGATTCTATTATTCTTTAGCGGTTTCGATTGGATAAAGCTACCTATAGGTAATTTCCAATTGAATTCAATTGGGTATTCCCAGTGTAAGATTGGAAAAATCTGCTAATTGGTTATAATACAATACAATACAAATATCGCAAGAGGGCCCTCGTGTAGCTGCGCAAAATCAACGAGGTTGAGACGCCATCATAAAGAAAAAACAAGTCTTTGGACGCCATTTATTAGCGGTTATTTTATTAGTCGATTTCTATGTTAAGTGCCTAGTGTTAGTAGTGTACTTATACATATTATATGTATATTAAAAAAACTATTTATATGTGTAAGGTTTAGGGACGATGGCGTAAGAATGGTTGTCACAGCAGACAAAATAAAAAAATTTGACATAAACAATATCGACTTCGACCATGCCTACAAACATCCTTTGCAAGAAAGACAAAAAATGATTATAACAGAGTAGTTTATTTATTTTTATTTATTTTTTATTACTTTTTTTGTGATAAAAAGTTATATATCAATACATACATATATAAAAAAAAATAATAAAGAAATAAAATTACTCAGTAACAATAAATTTTTTGTCTCTTCTGTGAAAAATGAATTCTGGTTTTTACCCGGTTATCCTTCTGGGATCTAAAATTATTTTTGAATGGAAAATAAACTGGTAGGTATTTTCTAATCCAAATTTTAAAAAATGAATTGGTTTTAATTGGTTGGAATGGGTTTGGCGCTATTCATTCCATGTGCATTTCTATTGGATTTAGACAATAGAGACAAGCATAGGCATGGATTGGTATTTCCCAATCCAAGCCGCTGACTTCATTGGAAATTACCAATAGGAATTCAACTGGAATGAATTGGGTATTCATAGCGCCAAAACAAATTTCAAACCAATTACTTATTTTTTATTGGATTCTATTGGTCATTTACAATAGGGATACTACTAAATACTTACTATATTTTTATAATTACTTTTTACTTTAAAAATTCTGATTTTTCACCATGTTTGTTTTAGGTAATCAACATTTTTCAGATATGAATATTATTAAATAAAATTATATTAAATTGTATATTTTCTATATGGCAGTTTATACGTGAAGGGTGCTACTTGATCATGATTTTTGGTGGTGCCACTATGTCAAGTTTTAAAATTAGTTTTTTTTACGAGGGGGTCACATGTTACCAAATTAAAGCCACAAATTTTGGGCGGTCATTTACGTACAAACAGATACAATTAGAAATCAAATTAAAAAATAACTGAGATATGAAACACTAAAGTTTAAGCGTTAATTGTTATTTATTTTGTTTTAATTTGATTTCTTTTAGTTACCAGTTTTATCTTTTCTATGAGTTAACAGTAAATACAAATATATAATATTTATTTTTTATTGCAATAAATATTTCAAACAAATTTATATGAATATGTATTTTTGTATAATAACAATTAGTCATATGTTATTAAAAAGCAAATGTTAATATTAACCCTCTACATTAAATTAAATAATAATAATATTGATAATAAATATATTATACTATTTTCAATAATGAATAATTAAATTATTTTTTTCTATCGGCTGGTCTAACATAAGACAATCCTCCATTTCGTTCCCATTCTTTGTTAAATTCATTTTCCAAAATTTCTGCGCCTCTTTTTCTGGTCAGTCCGGTCTCTTCCAAAGAAAGTTCACACATTTGCATATCATCAGACCCTAATAACAAATTAAATAAAATATATGTATAAATCCCTAATAAATCTACAACCTGCTGTTAATAACACTGGGGCTTTTTCTGGATGAATTTCCATTTGTCTGGCGACATACTGCCCATCGAAATGAGCATACCACCACCCTTTTTGACCTTGCTCTGTTCCAGGTCTCTGAAAAGGTATACGAAAGTATCTTTGACTCACATTGTCTAGAACCGCTTTTTGTGGTAGACGAGATGTTTTGGCAGCCGATTCCAGTACTGAGCGAGGTGCCCTTTGGTTTTCGTCCATTGTTGTGCGCTTGCGGTTCTTTGCTTTCCATGCGTGATAAACCTTAAGACGACGGTGAAACTCATGACGGCACGCCTCAAGTAATTCAATGTCGCATGAAGTATTGATTGTATCTCGAAGTTCAGAGTACTTCCATTTGGATAAGTCAAATGTGCTTTTATTCTGACATGCTTGGTGAATTCTAACAGACTCTAACCTATAAGAAATAATAATCATATATATTTTTTAACTCATAACGCGTCAACGAAAACATCAAACGTAATCAACCTACAACTGAGAAACAACTAAAAAATTTATGTTAAAAGTTATAACCATCATCATAAAACAATTAGATGCAAATTCAGCAGACTGCGAATGGGAAGAAACACATTAGGTGCGTTCTTTTTGACTGAGATTTCAGTTAATTTAGCTTACATCCATAAAATGTGCATGTTCTTTGGCTTCACGCACTTTGGGGTAAGCTAAGATTTTTGTATCCCCCTCACCGATACTGAGTTTTTTTTTGTATATAAACTTAGAGTTTAGTAAGCCAATTATTTTATAGAAAGTAGTTGATTGAACCAAATATATATATATATACAGGGTGACCCAGTGCTCTGTGAGCGGTCCATATTTTTTTGCTATTAAAGATATCGATATTAAATTTTTATAGAAAATATGATCTGACTAAACCTATTTTCCATAATTATTTTGAACAAAATTCCACTTCCGGTTTCACCGGAAGTGACGTCAACATTGTTATTTAAAATAGGATACCTTGTATATTTTTTAAATTTCATGTTATTAATTTTTTTCGTCAAAATTTGACAGTTGCGCCTTCAACAAAAATAGCCTATAACTTATTAGGTCTATGCGGTATGCGGTTTGGATTTTTGGAATCTTGAAACATTGTTTTAAATATCCCGTGTCAAACTTTGCCATATTTCTAACCAATTACTTGATAAAAAAAAGTCTGGTAGGTACCTCAAAAAATCGTCCATTCGGTTATGTTTGATTACCGTAAGGTTTGGGATCGATTACTTTTAAAATTGGCCTATAATAAAAAAAACGAAAAAGTGATTTTGAAAGCAACGCTCAACTTTGCACACTGTGCATAGCAAAAGGGGGTTTAACGTGTGCATTATTTAGTACATGTAGAGAAAAAATAGCTTTTTTTAATATATAATTCATTGAAATACGTTTTGAGTGCAAAAATTGGACTGCAATTGTTATTTAAAATAGATTAGAATTTATTAAAAAACCTTTTGAAATTTACATTCTTTCCGCAACGCTTCAGCGCGCGCCGCCGGGGCACAATTTAAGATGTTCCTATTCGGTGATCTTTGGTTCTCCTCTCAGTACGCGAATATATCGTCAATTTGGGGCACCGAACGCAGTGTCTCTTCAACCGCTCAGGTGGTATCTGTGTCCGTTTGTTTGATTTCTAACTTTTTTGTCGCCACGCACCGTTGTGTGAATTACGTGTTTTATTTTTTAAATAAACTTTTTTTATTAACAATAATGGCACCAGCGGAAGTAAGTTGTGTGCAAAATCTATTAAAAAGCCCGATGTCACTTGAAGATAAACTTTTAGTTAAGAAAAAAGGAAGATATATTCCCGATCTTCGAATACACTACACTTCCGCAGGTAAAGGCCGAACTTACAATAGAGTATTCAACAGAAATATCTATGAAAAATTCGAGTGGATATGCGGATGTTCAGTAACCAATAAGCTTTTTGTTTTATGTGCTTAATTTTCAAAAAAATAAATTACGTGCGTGGAATAAACATGGGTTAGATGATTTAAAACACATCGCAGAGAGGGCTAAGAAACACGAAAATTCAGTTTCTCGCATGGACTTTATGTACAAAAATTAGTAGGTAAGTTTTTTGTGCCCACCCTCTTCCAGAACCTACGAGCCGCCACTGGATTCAACATCTGTCCGGTGCCTTGTATGTTGGGTATGAACATTGGATCTATATGCAAAGGTTATATTTGAGTGGCGTAGTTTATTCAATATTTGGTAATTGTATATATTATAATATATATCAACGGAGAGGATATTACAATTTTTATAAAAATCTTTTGTACAATATCTTAACGGGAGGTTTAATAAGATATTGCTTTGCAGTACACCACACAGATGTCAAATATTGTATATGACAGTGCAACAGCGAAAAGTACACCGAACGCAACAAGAATCCCGGTAGACATTGATTTATTTTTTTAAGATTCCAACTGGTGGAGCTATTTTCTTTCTTAGTATGCTTAAATGAGCTTCCATGATAGGGTTTTATCAATATATAGGCCAAGGTATTTAATTACCTTTGAGTATTCTAGTGTTTTGTCACTCAGGGCTATGGCAACACCATTCCATTGAAGACTTTGTTTAGTTATAAACATTAGGGTGGGTTGAAAACAAAATGTTTGTTTTTTTTCTTAGCATGAAGGTAAAATTTGTACCTTATAAAAAAAAATTTTTCAAACGAAAAAAAAAATTTTACTTAACATTGAGGTGGCCCACTCGTTTTTTAAATAAATATTTAATCAAATGGGGTAGTTCCAACGGGAAATTCTTTTTTTGGTCCAAAATCGTGGAAAACATGTAAAAATTGTAGAATGTGATTTTTTTCACTCAACTTTCATTCTAATACAAAAGAAAGTGCATTTCATTTTTAAATTTTTTAATTAAATTACAAAAACAATGTAAAAAAACTTTTTCAACTTTTGACTTCCAATTTGGCTTTTAAGGGGACACCCTCACAGCAAACGGAAAATTATAGAGGTGTATAGGATGACGCCCCGTTTGAATATGGTTTTCTAAATCTCCCTACGGTATAGAGTTGTATTCGTCAGTCGAGCGTTTCAATACTCTCCACAGTATAGAGGTCGTAATTTCACTTTTGAACTAGTATTAATATAAAAATTATTTTATGCTTAAAAAAAACTATATACGACATGATTGTGATTTTTTTCATTTTATTAATTAATTAAGCTGTGTTGAATATTTTTTCTAAAGGAATAATTGCCAATGGGCCATTAATTCATTTGTTCGTAGATGCTACAATAACCTGCACTGGTGTGTACTTTTTCATCAACCAAAACTAACATATACCAGTGGGTCTACCAACAGACCTAATTACTAAATTATTAAAGTTTAATAGCATATCGATCATTTTTTCAACATAATCTCTGAAATTTTTAATACAAATATAGGTACTTTATATAATACATAAATATACTTAACATCATATCATCTGTGCTTTACATACCTGAGTTGTTACGGTAAATAAAAATCAGACAAAGGAACCAAAGAAAGGAACTATTTTCAACAAAATCATATGCAGAAAGGAGAAAACTACTTGCATCCATCAAAAGATCAAAACTTCTTGCAATATTACACCCTCTTTTTATACTCTCAGAAATATTGACTAGAACACTGCCGTGCTTAATGAAAACGCCGTAACCAACAATTTTGCGATTTTTATTTTACGGCATTTTCTACTAGAACAATTCATCCTGCGTCTATCCCCGGTACTCAAAAAACCGTATATATAAGTTAAGTTTATTACTTAATAAAAACACTTTTTATTTTAAAAGACAAATTTTTATTTTACAACTAAATGGCAGAGTAACGTACAATATGAAATGCAAACAGAGAATAATCTTTACATATGTAATTGCAGTTTTTAATGAGAAACTAAAAATGCTAACTAAACAAATTAGTGGTGGCTCACATAACTCCTCCCTTATCAGAAAGTTATTTGGGGGCCGATAGTCTCCAAATTAGTTGGTATTGGTTGAGGCGTTGGTTTTTTTTCGGTAGACAAATATCAAGTTTCTCCAGATGGACCGGGACAAACATAACATTCCAAAACCATAAAGCAAAAATATCCACATTGGGTGAATTTCCAATTTAGGTTCCTTCAAAGGGATTTCTTGTAGAGATTCCTTGAGGTCCATTAGATCATCGAGGTTTATATTTTGAATCTTCTTTGATTGATAGTATGTTTGTATCGAATTTGACTTTGTAGGTTGTCATCTCAATGTCTGTGCTTCGGATGATTTTATCGTCAACTATTATATGACAGTTGATCGACTTGAGCAGACAAGGTTGTTTTACAATGAGGTTCGTTACTTAGCCGTTACAATCTTCGGTGATGGTTGCTTTTGATTTCGGTAATATTATCCAGTAATTTTGTTTCACAGATGTTGGGGTCGTTTAATTTATCTTCATCGGAGTAGTCGCATAAGTAAGTTTTTCTTAATTGCTTACAGTTTAACTGGTTATCGAATATATAAGTTTTATCAAATTTTAACAGAAATATTGTTTTTTGTATAACTGCCATGAATGTATTATTATTTTTTTTTGGGTATGGAAAACAAATGCTCAAATTTGTTTATTATTTGTGTATTCAAAACAAAAATTAATTTAAAATTAAAAACTTAAGTGCTTACTTTAATAATTTTTTTTTGTAATCGAATATATTATCATAATCAGGCTTTATTGGTAAGTTTAGTTTTGTATTTAATAATGTGAGTTCGTAAAGTAAGTCATAGTTACTCAATATTGAAGAATGTAGTTTGCTTAATTTTGAATTAACCTAACTATCGTTATTATAATAATAATTATAATTAAATTAATATAATTAAATATAAATATAATGTGATTATTTGGTTGAACATTTTTACTCAAGTATGCTATTTTATTAATTTTGTATTGAAGTATATGTTTATGATGTATGGTTGACATAATTGCATTAAACTTATTTATTAATTTTCGCGATACTGTATTTTGTTTGTTTAAGTAAATCTGGAGATCTTTTTGATTATGTTGTAATTTATTCAACAGCTGAACGTACCGTTGACCGTCGTTATCATCGAGGTTTCTGGTTACTGTTTTAATTAGATTATAGTCTAATATACCTAAACCGCGTTTAGAGAGATAATGTTTAACAAGTTTTTTTAATGTCTACTATTTCTACATTTAATAAAATTTGTGTGTAATTTTGTCCCAAAGTAGTAATCAATTTGTCGTATTGGATATTAATTAAATTTGCCTCGTTAACAAGGAGTTTTAGGTCTTTATAAAATAGTAGTTTTTGATAAAAGGCAGTTAGAAATGAAAGTAGTCCTGGGTTATCTTCTAAAGTTTCAAAGTCTTCTGAATATTTAAGGATTGGGTAATAAAAGGTAGATTCACTATTGTTGGAAG